GGGGGGGGGGGGCGAACGAACGCACCTCTGCTCCACCTTGGCCCTGAACGCCTGCTGCAGGTACACCACCGCATAGATCTGGTCAAGGGTTACCTTGGTGTTGGACACGGGATTGATCATGTAGTCGATCGCCTTCTTGTTGGACCCGCGCTTCACGAGCTTGAAGCTGCTGGCGATGCTGCGTCCCTGATGACGAGCACCCACGAAAGGTGGGTCGTTCGGGAGGGGGGGGGGGTCAGCGTCTGGGCAGATGCGGAGCATCAACATCGATTTGTCTTCGGATCATCAGAGCAGGTGCCTGCCATCCTCCCGCCAACAAGCGGGGGCTAGCTAGGCGGGGGGGTTCAACCGGCGGGCCTGGCGGGCCGCAGAACCGCTTTCGCTGTACATGAACGCTCGTGAGATTCAAGGGTGATTATTACGGGGAAGACCAGGCCTCAGAAAGCGACGAAAAACCGCGCTCTTACCGAGTCCGGAGCGTGTCCAGCTGACAGGAACGTGTTTGGACGAAAGCGGAGAGGAACAGAAAGGCTGGGAGCACTCGTGGCGACCCAAGCCATCGCCCTAAGCACGGTTTAGCTGGGCACCACCTCTGGACCAAGACAACACCGCCTGGGCATACAATGTTGTTGGCTGTTGTTCGGTTTTGTTACTGCTGCCTAGAGACACCCCTTTCTTCGCGAACATACATGGGAATTCGTTGTGGAGGTACCCAGCCGTCGCAGTACTTACGCCAGCAACATTGTTGACCTGACACCAGCTACAAAGGGTTGGGGAGACGGGGCTTCGTGACGCAATTTTTTCAGCGACAGAATTCCACGGTGGAAACAAGAGTGACACGACACACACTGTCCAAGAGACACTCGGTCCACAGGCAAGCTGCTCGTTTGTTGCACCTGCGCTCAAGTGTACCGAAGTGTAAAACGCACTGCTGTTGCTTTCGTTTTCCGGCTTGGTGAGAGGTGTGTCTTCCCTCTGGACTTGATATCAAGCAACCATAGCAGCAGCAGCAGCGGCAACAGAAGCAGAGACCTTCACCATACCAATACGAACATCCTATAAAGCCAGCGCCACCAGCAGTAGCAGACAAGCAGGAGCCTGCCCCCCCCCCCCCTTCTTCCCCCTCGGAACGCGAAAAAAGTTTGGCTCCACGATGGGTGTAACTACATTCATTTTTGCAAGCACAGCACCAGACAAAACACCTAAAACGCGCCGTTTTCGTGTCACCGTGCTTTGCATTACTCCAGTCTGCCGTGCCCCCCCCCCCCCCCCCCCCCCCCCCCCCCCCCCCCCCCCCCCCCCCCCCCC